ATCGTGACCTGAGCCGAAGTCGGACGCCTAACCGACTGAGCCACCCGGGCGCCCCAACTTTTGATGTGTCCGAACTCACAGAATCGTCACAACAGCGCCGAGGTTCTTGCCGATCCCCGTTTAGAGAGAGGAAGCCAAGTCACAGGGAGGTTAAGTAACTTGCTCAGAGTCACACAGCTGATAACTGGAGCAGATGAGATGTAACCCCCGGCAGCCGGGACCCAGTTTGTGCTCATAACCTCACGCTTCAGTCCGGGGCCCGTGTAGAAACCCGGGCCGTGCCGGACGGGCCCGCCGTCTGGCATGAATGACGCAGCAAGAAAGTGGGAGGGACATTCGTCCTGCTAATTTTGTCCCAACCATGGAAGCAGGGTAGGCCGGTCGCCAAGGGGACAGTGTCTCTCTGCTGACACCTTTGGCTGTCTTTGCGCGTTTCCAGGCCACAGCAGTGGGGGTGAATGCCATTTCGGGGCTAGCCCACCCCAGTAGAATCCTCTCCTGCAAAAAGGAGAGTCACCTTGCCTCGTTAAACAGGGGCCGTGCCGGACTCTGTGCTGAGCTGGGTTGGACGCAGCCTCCCTCGGCTGGCTGGGGCCTGGGAGCAGCTCCTGGCGGGAGTCCCAGCCCAGGGCTGGGCAGACCGGGGAGGGCCATGTGGTAGATCTTTCTGGGCCTCGCCTCCCGGCCAGTGTGGTACTACAGTTCCCTCATTACACTTGGGGGCTCCCAATCTACACGGAACTGGCCAGGAGAACTTGGTTCAGAGGGAATAAATAAAGACTTAACCTAGTCCAGAAAGGTTGCTGACCGCTGGCTGGGAGCCAGCCTTGGGAGTGCAGTGAAGAAACGATTCTGAGCTGATGGCTTTAGCTCTGGTGGTTTCCTCCGCCCTCTGGCTGGTTCTGCATTGACCTGGAAAGGGTATGAAAGACACCCGTTAAAGAACCAGGCCGGGGACTTCGAGGCTTTCAAAGGTCTCCTAAGTGCAGATAATCCGCTTGCGAAGCAAAGGGTAGACTGCACTGCTGCCCACAGTGGCTTCTGTGCTGCTCTGTGGACCTCACCTCTGTGGGCCGTGAACACCGCGAGTTTATTAAGTTCATTACTTCATCACGTAGTGGTTTTCTTCACTTTAAAAAAATGTGTCTTAAATATAAATGCCTCTCATTATCAGAGGGATGTATTGAAATTGTTCTACCAGCTAAGTAATAAGAAGAAAAAAGAAAAACCAAAAAACAAATTATTTTTAACGTTTATTTTTGAGAGAGCGTGTGCAAGTGGGGGAGGGGCAGAGAGAGAGGGAGACACAGAATCTGAAACAGGCTCCAGGCTCTGAGCTGTCAGCACAGACCCCGACGCAGGGCTCGAACCCACGAACCGTGAGATCATGACCTGAGCCGAAGTCAGACGCTTAACCGACTGAGCCACCCAGGCGCCCCCCGAAAAACAGATTCTTAACTATAGAGAACAAACCGATGATTGCCAGAGGGGAGGTGGGGGGTGATGGGGGTCAAGAGCACATTTACTGTGATGAGCGCTGAGTGATGGAATTGTCACATCACTATATTGTATACCTGAAACTAATATAACACTTTACTGGAATTAAAACTAAAAAAAAATTTTTTGTTTTAAAGCTAAGCAGTAAGGTTTGCTTGAGCATGAATCATTGTCAGAGGACTTTATCTTTGTCCTTTTTTTTAATTTTTTTAAAAGAAATTATTTTAGGGGTGCCTGGGTGGTGCAGTGGGTTAAAGCATCCGACTTCGGCTCAGGTCATGATCTCACGGTTCGTGGGTTCGAGCCCCGCATCAGGCTCTGTGCTGACAGCTGGGAGCCTGGAGCCTGCTTCGGATTCTGTGTCTCCCTCTCTCGCTGCCCCTCCCCCGCTCATGCTCTCTGAAAAATGAATAAACCTTAAAAAAAATTTTTTTTAATTTTTTAAAGTTGCATAATCTCTTCTAAACTCAGTTTCCTTGTCGGTATGAATTTGAGAGAAATAGTTAAGATTGTTGTGCAGAACCAGGGAGATGATGCACTTGAATGAATTGAGGCACATGAAATGCTTATTAGCACCGTACCTATGGCTGCTGGTGCTGGTGGGGTTTCCCCCGTGCTGCCCATAAGGCAACAGCCTGGAGGGTTCCAGAAACCTGGCCTGGGCCCTGGCAAGTAAGGGGGTGGAGCCAGGATCCGGACCGTCCCCGACATCCTGGTGCTCCCACGCTCTTGCCCCACCACAGGCACTTGGGGGTGGGGTACGCGTAGACCAGTGTTGGGTTCCTCCAGCAGCTGCCCCACTAAGGATCTGCCTTTGCCTCTTGAGACTTTCGATAAGCCCTTAAGTCTTTTAACCAATCTGGTTGCCCTTTTTAAAACTCGATCCAATCTAAATACGTCCCTAGTGCCTGTGAAATTCACAAGCGAGCTTAGTAATATAGTACAGGGTGCCCGGAGTTTTACGAGGTAGGATTAAGTTTTCCCTGTCACATGAAGTAACCCTGCTGGGGTAAACCTGAAACGGCATTCACCTTCATTAATGTGCCTGGAATTATAAACACCTATCCAGCGTGTCATTTACTGCCTCAGCCGGGCTCCGACATCGCTGGCTTCAGGTTTCCCTTTTGCTCACACAGAGACAGAAATCCCTGTGCCCTTCTTCTCTTACACATACGAAGCGAGTTGAGGCAGATACCTTAATCCTTAACGCTGCTCCCCACCCCCCCCCCACACACACACAGACGCCCACGTCGTCCCCTTGGAGAGTCCCCTCCATCTCTGTTCCTGGGTGGAGACCTGGCTTCAGCCCTTTCTCCAGGGGCGCCTCCGGTTCCGGGTTTGGGGCAGTGAGAAACCCTGGGTCTGTTCAACTTCAGATCCTTGCACTTCATTCTCTGAAACTTCGTTACGTTTATGATTCCGATGGAAGAACTGAGGGCTCAGTGCGGTTGACCCCAACATTTCACGTTAATGCGCTGTCTTCACATTTAGGGTTTTTCGTGTCACGTTTATGACATTATTTTCAAGTTCTTAATGACAAATTTAGGGAGTTCATCTACCAGGCCCCTCCCATAGCTTTTGGGAACAGCGGCATTGTGTTTTTATTTCCTCAAAACTCTGACTCCGCATAAAAGTATTTGAAAGTAGATCAGTGTCCCCCAAGAATGCTGTTATTCATCTGTCCATTTTGCATATTCATGCTGCCTTATTTAAAAAAAAATTTTTTTTAATGTTTATTTCTTTTTTGAGAGAGAGACAGAGAGAGTGACAGAGCATGAGCAGGGGAGGGACGGAGAGAGACACAGAATCCGAAGCAGGCTCCAGGCTCGGAGCTGTGAGCACAGAGCCCGAAGCAAGGCTTGAACCCGTGAACCATGAGATCACGACCTGAGCCGAAGTGGGACGCTCAACCAACTGAGCCACCCAGGTGCCCCAGGAATATGATTATTTAAAGTGTCAAATGTTTGGATCTCTGATCTCTGCTATACCTGCATTGTAGAAATAGCTATTCTGGCAGTAGTCTTATCAAAAATTGCAAAGCTTCAAATTTTGGCGAAGTTAAAAACGAGTAGCAAAGCTACAGATTTGTAATTGTGTAATATATGTGCATATATGTATATGTTCAGACAGATGTGAGCAGTTTACATAGAAGGAAAAGTGAGCAGTTTCAGGCATTTGAGAAATGGTTCTGCAGGGGCGCCTGGGTGGCCCAGTCAGTTCAATGTCTGACTTCAGCTCAGGTCACGATCTCACGGTTCGTGGGTTCGAGCCCCACGTCCGGCTGCTTCGGATCTTCTGTCCTCCTCCCTCTCTGCCCCTCCCCTGCTCGCGCGTGCTCTCTCTCTCTCTCAAAAGTAAACATTTTTGAAAAAGAAAAAACTGGTTCCACAGATCTGTGCAATGGGTTTTCTTTTATCACTCTGAATAGCGGGGTAGAGCAGTGTGGGGAACAAGAAAGAGAATACATTCTTTCCTTGGATTATTTTTTTTTTTCATTTAGCTCACACTTATGGAAAAGAGAGCCATTCAGACATTCATTAATATGGTAAGAAAGACGATATCTTATATTGGATTCCTTTCAAGAGGAAGAAATAAGCCATGAGTTGCTGACGGGAGCGGGGAGGGGTTTTGATTGCCCTTGAACTCTCCCAAAATGCAGGTTGCACGAAGTTAAATAGAATAATCCACACGAGTTTAAAATTAAATGCCCATATTATCCTGCAGCATAAGCTAGTTTTGTTCTGCTTGTGACCCGTGTTTTGGTCGTCCCCCCGTTACTTTGCGTTGATCGGGTCAGCGTAAGTTCCGTTTAATCGCCAGCCCACCACCCTCTTGTTTATTTGTAAAGGACAGAACTTCTCATCTTAGTATGTTTTGTATTAAAAGAAGACATTTTCCTTCGGCATTGCCCAACTGCAAACAGAATTTTCTTGGCGGGGTGGTGACCAGGAAGGCTTAGAAGGACAGGTGGCTAACCTCTGGCTGCATGATCTCCCCGACTGAGAAATTAGATATGATTCTGGATGGTGCTTTTCTGAGGTCAGATAACGTGTTATTTGTAACATGAACCCGGCAAAGGCTACCCAAAAAGTGTCGGGGGCATGGAGTTGGGTTGTACCAGTAAGAAAATTGAAGGTTCCTGACAAAGAATTCCAAGAATACAAATTCTATACTTAGAAGACTTCTTGTAAGAAAGTGAATCCAGTCAGGTTCATGCCCACGAAAACCATGACATCTGTTACTAAACTTCATAATGTGGAGTATGTGTGACCCTCCACTCCTGGTGGGAATGCTTCCAGCGGCCGTAGCTCACTGGTGCCCCCTTGCGGTATTCAAGCCACTTCGCATGTTGTTGCCTTGGGTAAAAGACTCCCACAGTGAACGAGGGGGACTGTTTCTGGGGGTGGAAACTTACCCTCCGGGGACTGGAAGACATACGTGTTTTGTTTTTTTTAATTTTATTTTATTCAAGCTTCTTTCATTCTTTTTGTCATTTGCTTTAGGCCAAAGAGCTACCGACCTTAAAGGATAATGACTTCATTAACGAGGGCCAGAAGATTTATATTGACGACAACAACAAAAAGGCCTTCCTGGAAAAACTGAAAAAGGATGTCGAGGTAAGAAAAATCAGTATAAAGGACGGCCCCGTTGTAGAAACGTCCGCCGTCTGGGTTGGCTTCTGAAGCTTCTGCAACCGAGGCCAAAATGCCTGTTGTACGCGATCAAAGTCAGGTGTAAGCAGGTGTATCTCACGCGTGGTCTGGTTTAGAAAAGCGCGCCGGACCACAAACCGAAGAGAGCGCCTGAAGGCCTCTGCCGGGCATCGCCCCGCTCGGGTTCCCACCTTCTAGTTGGCAGGAGGGTCTGTTCAGTGGAAGCCCGCTCGCGCCGACTGCCCGCGGCCCCCAGAGTGAGGGTTCCGCGGAACCATGGTGTCTCGTCACGCAGCAGAGCATTTCAAACGCAGACGTTCAGGAACCGCATCTCGGTGTTCGTGAACACATTCCCGGTCACCTGATGCTTGAACATTTCCAGCAGTCTCTGTGAAAGTAGCCCCACTGAGCCTTACACGTCGTGGGAACGGAGCAACGGTGGCTCCTGATACCAGTGGCATGGCGGGGGGGGGGGATGGTTGTGACACATCAAATACTGTGTGAAAATGGGCTTTTCGTCCATAATGAAGTTTTCTTTCTTTCACTGTTATTCTGGTTAAGAATGAGAAATGTACTTTTCCTGCTCTCCCGTTGGACTTCCTGTTATGCATCTTTTAGAAATCAAGCCGGGAGAAGTTATTTTCTTGAAATTTGTTAGGTTTGTAAGACAGTGCAAAGAGAATTCTGATTTAGACAGTTACTGAACTAAGTTTTGCTGAGCTGTTAACTTTTGTTCGTACGTATGCGTGAACGTGGTATACTTTTTATTCTTTTTACTTTTATTTCTTTATTTTTTTAATACTTATTTTTGAGAGAGAGACAGAGAGAAGGAGAGAGAAGAGTGTGAACAGGGGAGGGGCAGAGAGAGAGAGGGAGACACAGAATCCAAAGCAGGCTCCAGGCTCTGAGCTGTCAGCACAGCGCCTGATGCAGGGCTCAAACCCACAAACTGTGAGATCACGACTTGAGCCAAGGTAGGACACTCAACCGACAGAGCCGCCCAGGCGCCTCTGTTTTTTTACTTTTAAAATCCAGTCCCCCACACAGCAATACAGCTCTACTACTTAGAGGCTTTGTGGAAAGTTCTTTTCATGTCATCAAACAAAAACAATTAAAATGGTTTGAGCCAAAGGATGAGTGTGCATTAGACTGTATCCCCCGCGAGGGCTGAGCAGTTTTTACAATATTCTTTTCACTGTTCTAACATCTCTTTCACTGTAAGATACCCAGACCGATTGAAGGAGTTCATAATTATTTTCAGGTCATGAATTTATTCTCATTAAAAACATTTACCTTTTTTTTCTTTTTTTTTTTAACCTAGCTCGTGTATATACTTCAGTTAGAACCTAAATATTGTTTATTTGTGAAGGACACAACTGTCTCCTGAGAAAGAGAAGTGGAGGGGATCCTGGGTGGCTCAGTCAGTTGAGCGACTTCGGCTCAGGTCACGATCTCACAGTTCGTGAGTTCGAGCCCTGCGTCAGGCTCTGTGCTGACGGCTCCGAGCCTGGAGCCTGCTTCGGATTCTGTGTCTCCTCCTCTCTCTGTGCCCCTCCCCTGCTTGCACACTGTCTCTCTCTCAAATATAAATAAACATTAAAAAAAAAAATAGAAGTAGAAAAGAAGTAGAAAATCATGTAACATTTTTCTCCAGTCTTTCATTAATAAGTTTATTTTTCCATTGTTGTCAGTGGTTATTATAATACATATTCAACATTAAATATTTCCCTTACTTGGGTGTCAGCCTGATCTGATAACTAAGTACTCGAGGAAGACCTTCTCAGTTTCAGCTTTTTATTCATTAATCAGTGAATCTTTGATCCTGAGAATAATATGGCTTGAGCAATTATGGTAAATATGCTTTAGGGGTTGTGCACGATCTGCCAAGAAAAAACGTTTTCATCCTTTTTTCTGTTGGCTGTGTACCACTAGGATATTTAGACTCCAGAAATAACGTAACTGAAGCAGTTCAAATTTACAGCTGAATTACATAAGGATCCTCTTAGCCCTTTTGTTGTCTCTAATAATGTCGTTGATTAGAGGATTTGGAGAGTTTAATCCCATACGTGGCTCTCGCGCTTAGCTGTTCTGTTGAAATGGAAGCAAGGCATAAAGCATTCTTCCCTTAAAAAAAAATTCTCAGTGGCTGATACAAGTATCTTTAGTTTTGAAATTCATGCAGAAGCATCATTAAATTTTTAAGCGGGTAATTATGGTGAGGTAGCTTGACATCTGATCTTGGTAAACGAAACTAGAGTTTAATCTAGTTTCATTTTTGTAACACTCTGCTTTCTAAGTTAGCTGACTGGCCTGTTAGTTTTTTTGGAGGGGATGGGGGTTGGTGGTACTTTTTGGTTTTTACTTAAGACTTAAAAGGTGAACTTATTACACCTCAATAAGTAATCTTTTTTATGTTGTTTTTTAAATGGTTATTTTTAAGAGAGAGCGCAAGCAGGGGAGGGGCAGAGAGAGAGGGAGACTGAGGGTCCCAAGTGGCTCCTTGCCGACAGCACAGAGCGCCATGTGGGGCTCAAACTCACGAACCGTTAGATCGTGACCCAAGCCGAAGTCCGATGCTTAACCAAGTGAGCCACCCAGGTGCCCCAGTAACCTGTTTCTGTAGCAAAAAGAAGAGAATGTCATGAGAGTCTAGCTGTTCTGGTTGTTTTGTTTTGTTTCCCTGCATCCAAAATCCTGTTCTGTTCATATACTCTGTAAAGAAAGCTTTGCACATAACTCCATATTGGTGAGCCCTTTTCTCCAAAAGGAAGTGCTGTATGGAGAGGGGCAATCACTTTTGCCTTCTGGCCTGCGCGTGGTCGGCGCCGATCGTGACTGCAGAGAACTGACACCCGTATCTCCCCTCACTGGCTCACGCCGGGATCCCCGTGGTGTCCGGGAGCACCCCCACCACGGGGCATCTCAGCTGTGGGGTCTCTGGGCCCGCAGCCTTGGAGGTGGGTGGGAGTCGGGGGAGGCCGGCGGGGGATTGGTGGGCCACCAGTGTCGACAGAGCCACGCGTGGAGCCTGACTCCTTCCCATGCGGACATCGTCTCTTTCATTCGAAACTCCTGGGGATGAGTGCTGTTGTTACCCAGTCTGTGGATGGGAAAACCAAGCCCAGAGACTAATTTGGGATTTGAGGCTGTCAGAGGCCACGCTCCTAAACTGCTCTGATACGAAACGCAGATGAGAAACGTCTGTGAGATCGCAGTTAAGATTTTGTTTCCCGATAAATGACCCAAAGGAGGATTATTACAACTTTTAACAAGTGATACAAGAGAACTGTTAAATAGTGCTGGTTGGAATTTTAATTCTGCATTGCAGATGTGTTAGGAGGTGGTAATTCAGTAGAGCGAATGTGTTAATAAATAAAGTGAGTTTAAACGTTGCGAAAGAGAGCTTATTAATGGCTCCCTGACCACGTCGTTTTCTAGAAGGGTTTGCGACAGGACTCGTTAAAGATCTTGAAGAAGACACTAGCTCAGAGATTTGGCATAAAGAGGGATTAATCATGAAAGAATCAGATTAGGTGGGATCTTCTGAGGGGAGAAGAAGCCCAAAGGTCTGGCAGATAATTATTAACAAGTTGGAAAAGGAGGAAAGGCGAGGGGCCTGAAGATTATAGAGATTTAAACATCGTCATGCTTTGAAATCTTACGTACTTAAAAAAAAATCAATAAATTTGAGTCAGAAGCTTAAAGGGATGAAGAGAAACCAGAACAGATGTGTATGAAGTTCCTTAATGTCAGCTGGAGGCAAACCCCAGCAGTGGAACCTTTAACCCCTCCCCAGCCACGTGGAATCTTCCAGGCCACGGCAGTTTTGCGACACCCGGCGGGAATTTTCTCTACCGAGACTCTCGAGTTTATTGCCACATTCCCCTCTACTTCAGAAGAGATGGAAAATAAACTTTACGGAGACAAGAGCTAGTGGGGTTCTCCGCGCTTCTCCTCTTGGCCCACCTAACTTGAACCTGTCCCCGTGTTTAAAGTGCGGACTTGTTGGAAAAAAGCCTTCTACCAGAATAACAGCGACACGGGCAATCACAGTAACGGCCTCCATTGTTGCGAGCGAGGCCCGGTTTCCAACACCTGAGCTACACATCCTCTCTCCTTCCTCTCCACACCCCTATGAGCTTAGCGGGATTATCCCATCGTACAGTTAGAATAACTGAGGCAAGGGGCGCCTGGGTGGCGCAGTCGGTTGAGCGTCCGACTTCAGCCAGGTCACGATCTCGCGGTCCGTGGGTTCGAGCCCCGCGTCGGGCTCTGGGCTGATGGCTCAGAGCCTGGAGCCTGTTTCCGATTCTGTGTCTCCCTCTCTCTCTGCCCCTCGCCCGTTCATGCTCTGTCTCTCTCTGTCCCAAAAATAAATAAACGTTGAAAAAAAAAAAA